TTGTCCCTGGGTTTGTTAATACCACTACCTTTCCCCCCACCTCCCCATCTCCCATGTCCCCCTGGAACTGTTGGTCCTATTGTTTTCTCCTCCAGATTGTTCATCCAGCCTATCTTATTTAGACAGACCTGAAAATTGAAGCTTTTAAGGATTTCATTTTACTTACATTCACAATTAACATCCACAGGAGGCAGTGGTCAAGAAATTAAGTAACAAATTACATTGGGCTTATCTGCTGAAAGACTTCTTTAAAGGGTTAAAGAGCAAAGATATGACTTTGAAGACTAAGATGTGCCATGGTATTTTTAAATGTCTCATATACACATATAGGAGCTGAACAAGGAGGAAGGAAGAGCAAAGAAGAACAGATGCCTTTGAATTATGTTGCTGGTAAAGAAAGTTAAATACACCATGGACTTCCAGAAGAAAAGAGTACAGCCATAGTGCTCCTTAGAAGCGAGGATAAGACTTCGCCTCACGTACTTTGGACATGTTATGAGGAGGGACCAGTCCCTGGGGAAAGATATCATGCTCTGTAAAATAGAAGGTCAGAGAAAACGAGGCAGACTGAGATACAATCACTAATATGGCCATTCCATCCATAATTCTTTATGTGATGTATAACAACTCTGGATCCTATGTCTGTGGCTATAATCCCATTTGCGGATAGTTTTCTGCTTTGCTAATAGACAGGTTTAAGGTGGGATTAAGTTTCCAATTTAGTAGAGGGTAAGAATCAAGCCACCACCTTTTGTTTTCTTGGGGGACAGGGGGTATGCTCTGCTGAAAGACAAAATCCACACCTCCATCATAGTCATTCCTCTGTGTAAGAGCCGCCTTTGATCCAGAGAGAAACTCGAGACCATTAGAAGAAAAGCTACCAGTGGAGCATGTTCCAGATCTTGGTCTGAAGTAACAGAAGCTGAGAGCAGAGGCATCAAAGGCTGCGGCACAGAGGTCATGGGACAGAACAAAGCAGCCAGGCTGAGACCAAAGGCTGAAGCAAGATCAGCTGGAGAATAGGTGCAGGACAGAGAGTATGAGACTGTGCGGAAGAGCAGCAGGTAGCCTTTCCAGAGTGCTCACAGAAGCAGACACCAAGGGACCCCATGCCTGGGAGGCTGAAAAAAAACCCAAGAAACTTGGCTACTGGCTGAGGAGAGGTGCTGCTATGGACCAATGACTTAAATTCTTACTGTTTACTATTCCTGCCTTGTGGTAACCTACAAGGCTGGCAGTTTCCAACCACCAGTGGCTTTCTGGGAGAAAGCGAGGTTCTGTACTCCTAAAAAAATTTGAAACTCACAGGGACAGTTCTACCCTATCCTACAGGGTCATCATCAGTCTGATTCAACTTAGTGGCACGGAGTCTGAAGCTGTGAGCTTTTTGTGGCCAATACATCAATCACTGAACTCAACATAAAAGCAGACTAGAGATGCTGACGAATGTTAAATATACCATGACGGGAACCAGAGTTGATGTCAAAATAGGTAAAGAAAGATGGAAGGTGCATGTCTGCCCTCTACCTTACAGCAACAGGGAAGCCAGAGGAAATCAAACACAGACCCTCTTCTGCACCATTTTTTCACAGACCCTCAAGTAACTGGACTGGCATGTGGTCCCCAACAAGCTCAAGCAACAAAAATGGTAGAGGATGCACAGTGCCTCGTACTGTTGTACACAGGGTTGCTATGAATTGTAACAGACTGGATAACACATAACAACAACAGGTATCATCTCTTGAATCCTGTCTTTATCCTATTTGATGTCAGTATTTATTTTATTCATGTCTATGCTTTAATGTAACATAACTAATATAACCTCTTTAGGGAAAAAGCGATGTTTAAAATTTTTTGTGCCCAATTTCTCTATTTAAAATACTTACATATACTTATACATTTAATTAAATGATTATCTTCCATGGCACAAAGAAATGTTAATCAGAATAATTATAACTTGAAAATCAGCTATTAATTTTTAACTAGTCTAAATAATTGTGTGTGTGTGTGTGTGTGGGGTCAGATGCGCAGGCATTCCCTCCCCTGAGGGCAATCAGTTGCAAGACTGTCTACTCATCCCACCACAGGGGCGGGCCTGCTCCCTGCTGCTGGGGACAATGGACAAGCTCCTGGGTGGAGCTCGAATCCTACTGATAATGGTCTATCAGTTGGGCCAGGAACAGGCCAAACCGGCTCTGTCCCTCCTCTTCCTATTGCCACCCCTTCTCATTGCTGTGTAACCTAAAGTGCAGCCCCTCCCTGTGACCTATGTCTCTGCCTGTAATTAGTGGGCTGGCATGCCCCCAAAAGGGATATAGGTGTGGGTCAATGAGAGAGAGAGAGAGAGAGAGAGAGAGAGAGAGAGATGCTCTCCTTGCTGCTCAATCCCTGGTCACTCCCCTCTCTTCCCCCTCTCCCTTGTTCCCTTGCCCTCCTTCCCTTCCCCGCTCTCCACTTGGACCAACAAGCGGGGCTGAGGTGAGCAATGCTACCATGTAATGTGTCTAACTGCATTATTGTAATATCTCTCATACTCTCGATGACTTTAATATAATACTTATATATCTCAACCGTACAACTGTGCATTACAGAACCGGTGACTAACGGTGGGAGCTGGCTCCCCACCCCCCTCCTTGCCATTTTAATTTAATACTACAGATAATGGAATGATGAGTTATTTTTGGTCTTTTAAAAGTCCTATTTTAAAAATATATACATTACCTCATGAATCTTGTTAAGGTATTCTGCATGAACATACATAATGCCACTCCATCCTTTAAATAAGAATAAGCATAAAAGTACAATGAAAATATATTTAAATAAGAAATAAAAATACAAACATTTAAAATAAAACTAAAAAATACCACTCTAGAAAGTAATGAGGGGAAAAATATAACTAGCTTTTTAAAATGAGGTTTTCATTGAAAACACTGATGCCGGGTGAAATGCCAATTATGCTATATTTGATCTCCCTGATTTCATCAGGGTCCTTGAGCTCATCTTATATAAGGTCTTACAACAAAGTTGTAGGTATAAGAGTCAGATCACATATCCTAGGATAGTAGGGAGTTCTAATCAGTAACATGAGAGGAAGAGGCATTCATATACATACCTATTCCTACACAATAGAATCCTTTAAGAATATAACCATATAAAAGCATGAGGAAGGACAAGAGATATTAAGTGTTGATTCTTGGTATCTTTAGGATTTTTATTTTGATATGTGCACAAGCTGCAGCTTCTACAAATTTGTTTAAAGCATTCTATCTCACTGCCTCTTCATCTCACATGCTTTCTGCTACCCAGTGTACCTGGCCTTCATCCACCCCCAAAATTCCCTGCCTCAAAGAGTCTCAATTATCTCCTACTTGTCAAATTAAATGGTTTTCTCTTATTTCTATTTTATCTACTTTTCTTATTTCTGTCTTCATATCTTTATAACACCATTTATTTATTTACTTAAACACTTTTCTTTAGTCAACTCTTTTGGTATTTTGTCTTGTTGATTGTTCAGGAGTGACATTTCTACTCCTGATTCTCTACCTATTGTAGTATCCTTTTTAGGAAGAGTGGGCTTTCTACTCCTGTAAACAGTTGCAGTCTCAGAAACTCACAGGTGCTCACTATGAGTCAGCATTGATTCCATGGCAGTAAGTTTTACTTTCTTGATCATCTTATTCAGTTAATTCTCTAAAGCACTGGTTCTCAACCTTCCTAACGCTGCAACCCTTTAATACAGTTCCTCCTTTTGTGGTGACCCCCAACCATAAAATTATTTTCATTGCTACTTCATCACTGTAATTCTGCTAGTTATCAATCGGGCGACCCCCTGTGAAAGGGTGGTTCGACCCCCAAAAGAGTCATCATCCACAGGTTGAGAACCGCTGCTCTAAAGGTATATATTCCCCTAAATTCCAATGCATTCCCACTCCCCTCTCTCTCTTGTCTAAAATTTCTTCCTTGGAAGTTTCAACTACTGTTTTTATGTAGACTCCCAAATGTGATACACACTTTCACATTCTGCCAAAACCTCAAACTCAATATGATATAATCCAACTTTATGGAAGCAGACAGCCTCACCTCTTTCCTATAGAGAGGCTAGTGGGTCTGATCATGAGGTTGGTTTCCAAACTGTCAGATTTTTCCTGGAGGAGTTATGCCCATTCATGGTTGAGCGAACAATGTTTTTATTCTTCACATTCTGAAGCTTATAATTGTATTTCGATTATTTCTCCCTCTAGAAAGAGATTTCTTTGAGCCTACAGATCATCTGCGTCATGATTCTTATAAATGGGTTAAAGCTTACATTAGATTATTATTCTATTGTTTTCTCTGTCTTGTAACTTTTTAGGATTAATTCTTGCATTACTGTGGTCCATCTCCCAGCTTCTACCTTCTCAACTAAAAATTAACTGCCTAATAAAGACAGTTTAAGCTCTTTTCTTGCTCTTTAAAAAGCACATCAAAATGAAAACAACTTCATAAGGAACCAGCTACACTTTTAAAAAAAGGTGGCAGCCAAACAATGTAGTAAAATGCTGATGGTTTTTGTTGCTGCTATGGGTATAATCACTTATCTAGTTTTGGATTTTTTCCCCAAAAAAACCACTTTATCGGGAGTTAATACAGTTATCATATCATTCCATAGTTCAATCACATCAAGCAGTATTGTACAATTGCTAACACAATCAATTTCAAACATTTTTTTCCTTCTTGAACTTCTTGATATCAGCTCCCCTCCTTTAGCCCTTTCTCCCCTATTGTAGCCCCCCCCCCCCCAGAGCCCTTATTCCACTTGTCTCTACAGGTTCATCAATCTTGGGTTTCCTATATCAAAAAATAGAACAACATATAACAAATATTCAAGAGGGCTACCCACAATCACAAAATAAATCAGCGATAAACCCCAATATGAAACACACACACAATGTTGAAAACCCGATCAGACCCAACATGCATCAGACGGAGGATCAAGTGGCAAGGATTTAAGCATTCAAGTCAGGTTTATCATTTTGGTCTCCTGTATTCCTGTAGTCATCTGTCCATTACTCTGTCTGGCAACCAGTTTATTCCCATTCACCCACTATGGATAGAGGGAAAGCACAGAAGCTTATGTCCTGTGAAGATCTCCCAAATATATCTTGGGCTTCCACTGTCATCCATAGCCTGAAACCCAGAATCTCACAATTTAAGCTCTGACACTATTACCTCCTTCAGCTTCAGATGATAAGATTTACAGTCCTTGGGTCACTGAGTGCTTCTTTCATGTAAACTTAATTGACGTCTCACTTAGATGGCTGTTTGGAGACAAACCTGTAAGACCTTAGCTTTGCTATAGAACCTATACCTTTTGTGTTCCCTTCCTGAGCACAAATATCAAGCAGGGCTATGATATAAGAACTAATTGTTCTTAAATTGGTGTAAGGGTTTGGTGCAAGCCGCAAATCCATTCCTAGATCTAATTTCTATTTTTATTTATCTTTAGAAATTTTCATTAATAAAATGTCCTAGTACAAAATTTTCAAAAAATATAGTGGCAAAACACTAACATAATGATTTTTTCAAGATGTCACTTAATAAGCATCTTCAGCACTTTTACTATAATTAGGAAGGAATGCGATCTAATTACTAAAATTGTCATATGTGGGAGCATCAAAGTTTACAGGAAAATGGAATGAAATTAAATGGCATTTTCTATGAACATTTTGGAACCTCTTGTATATTGTAGTTATGTCATCATCCTCAGAAAAGCAAATTCACAAAATACGCAGGTGCCAGTGTTGCACTTGCAACAAGAAAGAGTAAGTATGTTGGATGAAGAAAAAACCACATTACAAGAAAGGCTTTTTATAACTTAGTCATGTTAGGAGTCTCAGATTATATGTGCAGCTGCAATTCATGCACATGCATGAGTCTCAAAATCCATTTTAAATTTCCGTTTACACATATTTAAAAAATTAGAAAATATATTTGTAAAGTGCTTGATAATGATTTTCCATTTTTCAGGTAGCATTGGAGACTATAATAAGGAACATCACATATACTGTTTTTTTGTTCTTTAAATCTTAAAATCACTACATACTTCATTATTTCAGACATATTATTTCCTAAAATTTTCTGTGTTATGAATTGAACTGTGTCCTTGCAAAATTTGTGTTGGAATCAAAACCCTTATAAGTGTAAGAATAGGGCTTTTATTAGGTACATTAATCAGTTTAAGGTATGTCCTAAACCTAATCTGAGTTTTAAGCTCATAGAGATAGATGAAGCTATAAGTTCACTCTAGAGAAACCTCAGAAAAAAGGCTTGGTGATCTAATTCCAAGAATCTGGAAACCCTATTGAAAACCCTACGGAGCATACATGAGCTCTCTCTAAGACAGAACTGCCTTGATAGTAACTGGGTGCTGGTATCTTCATAATAACCATATATGTAAAATAAAAATATCTCAGCCATAGATGTCAGATAAATATGTATAATCTAAGGCATATTTTCACACAAACTTGCCTCCGGAGTTCCTAGTGATTTCACAGCATTCAGATCAGACCCCGAAGAGAAAGTGTTGTTAGCCCCATGGACAATGAGACCCTTTCCTTCTGTCCATTGTTCCAATTCAATGACTTTTTCTAGAAGCTGTAGCATCATAACACCTGCCAGAGAGAAAGGGCAATCAATCACAAACACATGGAGGGCATGAGAAAAACAGAAATAATGGATAAACTGAGATGTCAAGCAGGGCTCTTTGGTAATATATTTCATAGTATTTACAAATTATCTGCCCCGTCTAGAAAGAAGTACATCTGGCAGTTCTTTCTTTTAATCAGCTTACAATTTGTTAGTTGTAGCTTCTACCCAGTGCAGTTAAGAAATCACACAAATACACGATTAGGTTAGCTACTGTCATCAAGTCAATTCCCACACAGAGCGACCCTGTGGGACAGTGTGGGTCTCTTTAGGGTTTCTGAGAGCGTCATTCTTATGTGATAAGACCTCATCTTTCTCTCACGGGATGACTAATGGGTTTGAATCACAGACCCTGCACTTTGCAGCCCACCGCTTCACCTACAATGCCAGCAGGGCTCCTTTATGAATAGGTGGAACAATTAAAATCATATACACACCTTAGGTAAAGGATAATAGGAGAGAAATATGAGCTTTGCTAGTAAGGAAAAAATTAAAGTGGAAAAGTTTAAACTAAAAACTAATGACTGTCACATTACAATCTTCTAATAGTAATTTTTGGATATGTTTATCTTTGGATATTATGATCTTCCAAGTTCATCCTTCCCCCTCCCCCCCAATTTTATTGGGGGCTCTTACAGCTCTTATAACAATCCGTACATCAATTGTACAAGCATATTTTTACATATGTTGCCATCATTTTCTAAACATTTACTTTCTATTTGAGTCCTTGGTAGCAGGTCCTCTTTTTTTCCCTCTTCTCCCCCCATGAACCCTTGATAAATTATAAATTATTATTTTCATATCATACACCGACCACTGGCTTCCCTTCACCCACTTTTCTATTGTTCTTCCCCCTTGGGGTGCGGAGGAGTTCATCCGTTCATCCTATTCTTACACAACGGAGTTGACTCTCCTCTGTCTAGGTAAATGCTTTAAAACTCAACATAATGATCATGTACAGAGGGTTAAAACTAGCAAAGAATCTATTTCACATGTTTCAAAATTATATAAGTTCCATTAAATTTGTATACTTCTTCAGAACAGAAATCTCACAATGTGAAGAACTACTGTGTTCTTTGCCATTTTCTGAAGTTGCCAGTAAGATTAGTTCTACAATAAATGTTAAATTAATAAAAGTAACAGAAAACTAAGGAGGCTAATCTTTCTAATTGCTAATTATGACCTAACTAAAAGAGTAATCCTTTCCAAGGTTGTTTTAAATGCTTTTCAGATGTAGAGCTTACTCTCATGAGACTTATGGTTGAGTGGGAGAAAGAGCCACATAAAATACACATTGAAGGAAGAGCAAATCAGGATAGGCAAATATGAAGCTTCAATAACCCATATTAAAAGTTCTGAAAAATAATGCTAGCCTTAAATATGGAAAATATAGCAGTTAATCTTAAATTCATCTTTTTGACATTTTAAACTTTAATAGAAGGAGTTTTTGTCTTTTTTTTTCATTTTTTCTTTATTGGGGAAATCACAGGGGTCAGGACATCCAGAGTGCAATGGATAAGCCTCGCCCTGGGAAAACCACCTTTGTGATCATGGTATCTCCCCTGCCAGGTAAGTATAATAATAGAAGGAATTTTACAGAGTATCTGTTTGGGTGATTTTCAAACAATGTGAGGAAGCACAGGGTGTGGGACTCACTCCTTATCATCTAATGCAACTCAACCTAACCTATATGAAAATAGCTTTGCTTTAATAAATTTTATATATTAAACATTAATTTTATTTGTTTTCATTTAAATAAAAGGCTTTACTGTTTACAAATTCTTATTTGCAGTTATTCAGCAGTAAAACTATTGCTCTAGTCAAACCTTCTTGGGCAGTCTTTTTTTTCATTTTATTTTTCTTAGGCTAATATTCAGATGTCTGTTTATTATTCTTTGAGCCAACTGAAGGTATAAAGTAGTACTGTTCAGTAAGCGTATCCTCAAGCCACATGCAGCTACTGAGCACTTGAACTGTGGTTAGTCTAAATGAAGATGTACAGTACGTATACAAGACACCCCAGATTTCAAAGATTTGGTTAAAAAATTGAATGAAAAATATTTCATAAATTTTTACTCTAATGATATGGTGAAGTAATACTTTGGTTATATTGAATTAGATAAAATATTACTAACATTAATTTCATTTATTCCTTTTGCTTTTTGAAAGTTGCTATCGTAAAGTTCAAAATGATATACATGATTAATAACTGTCTTATGTTATAAACATAAAACACACTTGTATATTCTTACAGCTATAACATAATAGAAAAAATAGAAAGTCCTGAATTCTGCAGAAAAAGGTCATCTTGGGCTTAAACAACCACTATAGATTTATAAGTCTGTTGAATTATATTTATGATTCTACATAAAGTAAAAAAATTATTAACTTGAGACATTTTTAGCTTAATGGTTCAAATCATACTAAAAAATATGACTGCCTTCCACAAGCTGCATAACTGAAAAACAGAGATTAACAACATCATTTTGAAATAAGCGTAAAATGTGGTCAGCAAGGCTACTCATTAAGTGTTGCACAATACCTAGGAAACATAATTCAAGTGTGAGCTACAGCACAAAATTACAACATATCCTGGACCTCCAGGTCTTACAAATATAATACTTTTATATTCCAAGAGTCTTGCCTAGCAAATAGGTTCTCATCAGTATCTACGAATTAGTAAAAAGTCAATAAAACAGGCGGTGTTTAAACTGACTACTGTAATTGCATAATTTAATGTATTTGTTTTTGTTGTTGTTCTACAAAAAGTGTCACTACTTTCAAAAATGTTGCTGCCTGGGCAAGAATAAAAACTACATGATAAAAAACAAACAAACAAACAAAAACGACATGATAGCTAGCATGTTAGATTTAAAGTCATTCTTTAATTAGTCAAAGAAAGAACTCTAGTACCTGAGAATGCATTCATTTTACTTGGATTATTCAGAGTAAGAATGCCAATGCCATTATCGTTCTTCTGAAGGTCAACGGATCCACCAGTAAACTGTACAAGCTTTTTTTTAACTTCTTCCTCATGGAAGCCATGAGATGTATTATAAAGTGACAACCCAGTCTGACACAGCAGTTTTGTCCGGGCAGACAGAGATGGTGTCTTCAAAACACTAGCCGCCATTTCTGGAAAAGAGACATAGTACGTAGTAGTTCAGATGAACACTCACTCACTTTTCTATTGCGTGCCAATGGACTGTAGTGAAGGACCGTTCAACTGGGAGTACTTCCCTACTTTCAAAATGCACTCTTTTATGAAATTGGTTTTGTACCCTCTTCTTTTTTCAAACCAAGTAATTCACAAACAAACCACTTTGGTATATCACTGAGGGGTGATGACATCATTACAGTGAATATATTGCACTAGCAAGATTTCGAAAAATCTTAAAACTGTTCTCCATTTAGCACCATCTAACTCCAGGTTGTCGTTGTCACCTTAGCACTTGCTATTTGTCCAACCCTTTAGCTTTTTCAAAATCTAAGAATAAATTCCATATAAATGTTCCCTAGAAATGAAAGTCTTCAGGCAGAATTTGTATTCTTAGCACTGTACTTACATTCTTTTGATATTTTCAGGGAAGGAAAGGAAAAACCGGGAAGGAAACAGGAATGTATGTGTAGTTTCTGTGTCCTCCATCTCTTACTTCATATTTATGAAGGGACTTCAAAAAACTCAAGGAAAAATGGAAATTTTCTGAAAAACAGAACTTTCTGTAGTCCCTTTGGGCATCTTGCACAATCTCATCTCTGTCCATAGGTTTTTTTCCCCCTTATATAAACTGTTTTGTTAACAAAGCATACATGTATATGACTTGTTATAATGTATACATTGGCTCAACTTTAGAACACATTGCCAAAGTGCCTTTTAAAATGTGTGTACTAGTTTATATTTCTAGTGAGAGTTACAGTTGCTCCCAAACTCTATTATCATTTGGTACTACCTCCCTTACCTTTACTCCCCTAATTTTAGGTAACTACCTCATTGCAATTATACTTTGCATTTCTTTTTTTTGTTTTGTTTTTTGGGAAAAATTCTTTATTTGAATGCGTCAGTGACCACAAGGCACAGAAGCTCGGTGCGTGTACACACACACACACACACACACACACACAAAAGCTTGCATGCGTGTGTATACACACACACACACAATGCAAAGGCATTTCATAGCAAAAGGAAGGGGAGTGGGAGAGCAGGCTACAAGAGCAACTAGGGGCTTTTTGGACCCTATGAAGAGGGGTCAGGGATGGTGTCACTCCCTAGAATTCTTCCTTAAAAGCAACAAGGAGAAATCCACTTTCAGCCCCAGCCCACCAAACCCAGAGTTGAAGAATCTGTTTGGGGCCTGAGAAGATGCTTCCTCACTGGAGAAACCTGTACCAGCTCTCCATTCCTTTCCTTGGGAGCCCCTTTGGCCTCCTTGGTATCCAGATAGCTCCTGGCAGAGAAAGGCTAGCACCACAGCTCCTAGGCAAGCAGTCTGCTGCACATGGAAAGGAGTGGGCCAGTAGGGCCCAAGTGCTGCAGTGACCCCTGGGCTGGCTGGCATAAGGCAAGTTGCCTTTTAGGGCACAGAACTATCATGAAAACTTGCATGTGGGGGACACATCCCTGGGTCAAAGTGTCCCTTGAGCCCAGTGGAACTAAGGCCTTCTCTGGCTCCAGTTGGCCCCCAGCTGCTGCAGCTCCTTAGCACCATTCAGGGACCATGGAGAAGGGGCAGGAGAGAGCACAGTGCTCACTTAGGACTGTGTCCCTGCTCCAGGAGATTGCAGTGGGCAGACCCTGCACAACTGGCCAGCATCTGGTCCTGGCTCAAGAGAAGCTGTCATTTTTAGGCAGGAAGAGTGTTTCATCCCTACCAGCCACTTTGTTGTAGCCACTTCCACCTGGCATTTCCCACCCTGTCCAGAGTCTGGCATGAATGTTGTAGGTTTCCTGCCTCTCCCAAGACAGGAGAGTCCCAGAGCCCAAGGAGAGCTAAGGTCTTCAGCTGCAGATTTGTCCCAAAGTGATCAGAGCAAAACTAGGCCCTACAGTCTTGCAACTGTGGCCTATAAGGCTGGGGAGGACGGTCATCCTCCAATTTACCACTCAGTGAGTCTCCAGTCCGATTACAGAGGCTTGGGCCAAATGGAGGAACACAAGTAGGGGCAAACTGGGGTGGATGTCTGCAACTGCCTGGATCAATCACAGGTTGCAGTGGTTCAATCCTGCCTCAGGTATACGTACTCCGTGGTAGGAGAGGCAATGGGAGTCCACGGAAGCCCAGTCATAGACGCTGGCTCATGGCCCCACGAACCAGGAATGCTGGGTTGAAACATCTCTAATTTTCAAAGGTGGTGGAGTCTTTCTGAATGGGTTGCACTTGTGTGGGGGGAGGTCAGATGCGCAGGATTCCCCCACCCCTGAGGGCAATCAGTTGCCAAACTTCAGGGGGCCCTGCTCTGTGCCTGGGGACAATGGACAGGCTCCTGTAGGTGGAGTTTACACCCTACTGATAATGGTTCCTTTGGACACCCAGGGAACAGGTCAAGGTTGAGCTCCTGAATTTGGAATCCACTTATCTTGTCATACCACGTGTACCCCAGCCCCTCCTCTTCCTGTTGCGTGTATGTCCCTGGACCACCCCTTCATTACTGTGGAATCTGGCCCAAGGGTAATGTCATTACATTCGGTGACTGGCTCTTGTGCTTGAAGCCGCTGAAATGAGCTTGGTATTGCTCTAGGGAGTTCAGCACTATCTTACCCGTCTGCAGGGGTAGCCCTTCCCAACTGGTCTGCGTCTAGCTTCTTTGTTTCCCCCTTTAATGTCTCCATTCCATGCTAGGTATTGCTTCACTTTGTTGGCATGTTTTTTGCTCTGGTAATGTGCCAGCTTCTGGGACACTGGAATGAGCAAGGTACAGCAAATCTTACACTGGGTGTTGGTGATGAGACACTGGTTCTTCTGGATCATGTGCTCCACGTCCTCCCTCCCCGCAGATTGGGCTCCGGACACCGCTTCCCACAGGCAAAGCGCACCGCTTCCCAGCCCGCCCGCTCCTCCATGCTGTTGTACCACCCGGCCCCTTGGCCATCTGTGGCCTCCAGGGTACCCAATGCGGGATAGTCCATCTTTCCTGCAAGTCCTAACCAGTCGGATACTTTGCATTTCTACAGGGTCTAATAAATTTAAAGATTTAGTGGTCATTTAGATATCCTGTTGTGAAATATCTGTAAGCTTTTTGCCTATTTTTCTATTTATTCACCTTATAAATTTACTACAGTTCTTTTAGTCTCTGTCTATACTTTTACTAACACATGTTTAAGACAACACGTCACATATCCACGCACAGTTCATGTTATGCATGCATTCCTAACTAATAGAATATTGCCTACCAGAAAGGGGCTTCCACTATCTTTCATTCACCCAATCCAAGCCTACTGCCATTAAGTTGACTCTGAATTAAAGTGACTAGATATGGGGTTTCTAAAGCTGTAAATCTTTACAGGAGCAGGCGGTCTGAGTGACTGGAGGGTGTGAGCCACCAACCTCGCAGTCAGTCCAACACCACCACCAGCGCTCCTCAGATGTACCACAGACCCCCCCAAATCATCCCCTCTAAATCGAGACTCAGACTTCTCCTAAAGCCCTTTGTTCCTTCTTTATTCACTCATTTAGATTTTTGGAGTATCATTCCACATTCCACATTAGGAAACCTCCTACTTCTTCCTGTCCCTTATCTCCCACATGTGATCTGTCTCTAAAAGTATTTATTCTGCCTTATCTTTCCCATTCTGTTTCTCTATTACTAACATTTCAAACCCACTACATGATATCTGAACTAAAACAACTGTCACTGATTCATTTCACATGCCTCCTGAAAGTCAACATCTGTAGCTTGGTCAGCAGTTTGAGGCCACCAGCCACTGCACAGGAGAAAGTTGTACTTTTCTATTTTCATAAAGAGTTACATTCTTAGAATCCCAGTTTAATATTTATGTTCTGTATTAAAAATGGTTACTAGCCCCCCCGCCCCCCCACACACACACACAAAGATTATTTGAACCCACCAGCGGGGAGAAAGATGTTATAAGGTATCTGTGAAGATTTACAGCTTTAGAAACCAGAGAGAATAATTATACTCTCTTCTATATGATGGCTAAGAGTTCAAATGGACCTCCATAGCAGGGAGTATAAGATGTCGTTAAAATGTTATGAAGCACACAATCTGTATTTTGGATTTATTTCAGATTCACAAAGTAATGAAAAAGTTTTAAAGCATTTAGCAATGTGTAAACTTCCATAAGAACAAAACTTATATTTAGAAGTTAACAGGTAGATGCCTAATTATCCATAAGAAGCAGATTTCATCCAGCTGAGGGAGCTCATTAAAAGGGAGCTGAGAAGCCTCTAAGCCAGCGGTTCTCAGCCTGTGGGTCGTGACCCCCTTGAGGGGCAAGTGACCCTTTCACAGGGGTTGCCGATTCATAACAGTAACAAAATTATAGTTATGAAGTAGCAACAAAAATAATTTTAAAAAATCATTTTATTGGGGACTCGTACAACTCAACACAATCCATACATACATGCATTATGTCAAGCACATTTGTAAATTTGTGGCCACCATCATTCTCAAAAACCATAAAAATAGTGCTATGGTTGAGGGGTCACCACAGCATGAGGAACTGTATTGAAGGGTCTTGGCATTAGGAAGATTGAGAACCACTGCGAGCTATCTGAGCTCAAAAGGCTCACTCTCCCTGGTTGTTTCTCAGGTTCTTCAGAGGTGATCAGATCATCTGAACAGCGCCAGTCCCTGCACTGCTCAGGGAATTAGCCAGCTAAATGCTTTTATCTGTATGGTCAGATTTTGGAATCCCCAAACCGAGATGAGTATCACAAACCCGAATTTAACATTCAAAAAAAGTCTAAGGCAGATCATTAAGTGTGAAACAACAGAAGACGTTGATGTTTGCTTTTAGATGATCAGTATATATTATCTATAGTGTCTGATTTTAAGCTTTCAATACATAAGCCTAGGCAGTTACTAAACGTCTGAATCAACTCCATGGTAGTGAGTTTGGTTTTTCAGTTTTCAGGTTTCATTACGTCCACCCACCTCCCTCTCCCTCACACAGGCACACTGAACTTGTTGTAGTTCCTTAAATCCTTCAGGTTTTCTCTTCATTCTAGACGTCCGCATAGGCGGTTTGTCTTCCTGTTACGGGTGTGACTGAGAGACACAGCAAAAGGTGCTTACCTGCCCAAAAGCACCACAGAAAATATCAATCTTCTTTGAAGATCATAGATAAGAAAAACCTAGGAGCGGCTCTATTCTGAAACAATGGGGTTGGCATGAGTTGAAGCTGAGGACAGCCTAAGTTCTGCCTATTATATTTTCCTTCAAAGGGAATTCCTTACTTTCTACTCTTGCCACACACTTTGCTCCTATTACTTTAACCAAAGTTTTCCATTACATTTAGCGCCAAGAGGGCGTGGGTATTGCCAGAAGTGGGGAGTAGCAAACAGCAATTTCCAAAATTCGCGTTCTTAAACGAAATTCCATATAAGGATTTAAGAATCCGGCCATAAACCAACTCAGCTACCTCATTTATTATTCCCACAACTCACCTTTTCTCAGTTCCATGTGAAGACCAACTGCGTTTCCTATTGAAAGGCCGATGACTGATACTGCCTCAACCTATTATTACTCTCACTCTTCCGGTCAGGACCCAATAAAACATCAAGAAAGGAGCCTGTCTCCTCCCTTCTCCAATGCACTTCACAATCCCAGCTTTCTCCCCCAAGGGGAAGAGCTGCTATAGGGCAGCGAAAGGGAGGGCCTCTGCAGTCCCCGCCCAGGTTCCCTTCACCAAATCACCGCCAGCAAAGGCCATGGAAAACAGACCCTCCGTTTGGGAAAGCAGCAGGAGGGGAAGCTGACGTCCTGCTCAGCCCATTCGGTAAAGTAATTCACCGGTGGCTTCCATTCCAGCGCCTGCAGGCGTGTGAGGCATTAAAAAGGAATTTGCGGCTTCATTCGGAAGGCGCGCACCATCCTGAAAGAGGCGCTGGTCGCTTATCCTGAAAAGTTGGTTGCAGAAACACAAGCGAGTCAAGCAAGAGCGTTGATTCGGACGTAGAGAAACAGACAGTGGCACAAGTCTACGAAAACGGTACCTACTTAGCCCGAGGCCATCAACATCGACGAAACCTCCGTCTCCTTCCACGTACGTGGAGGCCGCTGACTTCTCCAGGACGGACACACCGGACCTGCTCACCGTCCCCACCTCCCCGGCGGGAGCGGAACCCGCGTCCGCGTCGGCGGTCCGCTCGCGGCGCTCACGTCGCCCTCCGTTGCACGTCGGCGGGCGCCGCGCGGCCCCACGTCCCACGTCCGGCACGGGGAGGCGGGCCGGGGGGGCCTCGCCGTTGGGGCCCCTGGGCGGACACCCGGCCGCCGTGCCCGGGATGCCGCGGCAGCGGGGCAAGTTCTTCCGCTCGCCCGAGACTCCTCCCTGGAGCTCTCGGGCCCCTCTTCCGCTCTCCCGCGCCTGCCTTCGAGCGCCTTTGGCCCGATTGTCCGCGCCTCGGGTTAGGTCTCCCACAATCCCTTGCGACCCTGCAGCGATCCCGAGGCCCGCCGGGCCCGACCTCCCCACTCATTTCCGCCTCCTCCTGCTCTGATCTTACCGGAGGCCCCATGGGGCTCCCCGCCTAAGCACCGCTGTCTTCGGAAACCTGCCCGCAGCCGGGCGCTCGTCTCCTGTGGCCCAGCCACAGCCTCGCATTCTCCCTTGTGTTCCGGCTTGGCTGGAAGGCTGAGTGCTTGCGTTATCAATTCTGCCCCACAGGACTGGGAACACTGGCATTTGGGGGTGACCCCAGGGGCCCCCACCTTTGCCTATAGGAGAGAGGAGTAGCTTTGGAGAATCCCGAAATACCAGCCAATAGTGGTCGAGCCACTTCTTTCCCTGTTGGGGTGGCGGAGGGGGCGGAGTGGGGGGCAATAGGATAGGTGCGCCCCTTGCTGGTCAGCCTATGATTGTGGGGCATAAGATAATGAGTTACCGAGTGATACCAACCCTAGTGACCATACCAGTTAGAGATAGTAAGGAGCAGTCGCCGAACACTAGTTCTTTTCATAGTCCCATGTAGACCTGACCCATATTGTCAGTTTGTTGTACTTTGAAAGCTTGCATGTTGGTAAGATGCTGGGAGCTATGCAAGCAGTATTTCAAATACCTGCAGGGATCACCCATGGTGGACGAGTTTCACATAGGAAACCTTGTCCTGTTCCCCCAGGGAAGGTTGCTTCGGTGCCAAGACTATTCAACTTTTGCTTGTTCCAGGATCTTAGTACAAACACTGAGTGATAAAGAGATTACTTGGAGACAAAAGCTGCCATCAATTCAAAATGTGCTCGAATATGGCAATGTCTGTTAGTCATATGAGAAGGTTTGTTAGTGCCAGAATCATTATTATTTGGGGGGTATGGGATTATCTATTTTAATGAAGTTCATTATATATTTGCAAATACAATGAAACTTTATATTACAGCTTAACAAAAAGTAAAACTGACCACTGGGGTTTGGAGGTGGGTTACCTGCCCAGCAGCACAGCACACCCACCCTAGTGTGCCACCTGTAGGAAGGGCAACCAGGAGGAAGCATCAGGTTTGGGCCAGGGATGGCCTCTCATGACTTCCTCACAAGTTCCTTATAGCTTGAAATTTTGATCCTGGCACTAAGCACTTCTTCCTGGACAGGAAGGTGGATGAGTGCAGGGGACGGGGTGAGAAGCGGTGAGTGGCACAGGGCAAAATAAAAAAGAGCAGAAGAGCGATCCTGAAGAGGAGTAAACGTAAGATGGTCACCGAGGGAATAAAACAAGAACAGGATTTTACTTACAGTCCCAGAATCTACAGGGTCAGGAAAAGAGGAAGTGGGGATTAAAAATAAACAGGGTTTTAAAAAATCATTTTATTGGGGCCTCATACAACTCATCACATTCATACATCAGTTGTATCAAGCACATTTGTGCATATGTTACAATTCAACAACTTTTGGATATCTAGGAAATAACAGACAAAAGTGACTTAATCTCTCTCTCTCTCTAGCCAATATGTATATCACAGAAAAATAAAAAACAGCCCTGTGACTTTCCGAGACTCTTTCCCCGCCCCCAAAGTAATTATAGATGAAGAAGGCATCCCAGCCCAGTCCAATTCAAGTGCCTAAGTCTGAGGTTAGTCCCAAAGCCCCTCTTTAGGCTCACGTAGCCACATGCCAGTGGCGCAGAATGGTGAACAGATGCAGAAGGGTCACAGGCCAATGGGGGCACAGCTGTGGGGTGCTAACAGCCCTCAGAGTCAGGCAGCCCACATGGGGCCATCCCTGGAAGCAGACACAGAGTTCTAGCAGGCAGGAAGGTGGCAGAGGGGCCAAGAGTAACTCTTCAAGGGAGGAGAAAGTTCGGTCTTTCTCCTGTGAAGTGGCTGTTGGTTTTAAATGGCTGACAGCCCAATTGTGTAACCACTATGCCAACAGGGTTCCAAAGGTTAAAATATCAAAATGTGACAAAGATGAGGGAAGATGATGAGTGTGAGGCACAGATAACATTCAGAGACAACAGTGAGATGGACAGTCTTTGTGTGCAGATGTAAATATAAAACTCTTGAGTCTATATGCACCTGCCAATGTCAGTTTAGATAAACAGCGTTTTGGAAATGAAAGAAATGCTCTGAGGAAAACCTAAATAATTAAAAAAGATAATAACTTTGTATAACAAAATTATCTAGAAAGAGAAAAGAATAGGTCATTAAGATCTATGAAAATTTTAGTCTACTGTCATTATTAGCTCTGGGGGCTTTTACTAAGATAGGACTCCTAATATCTGAATCATAAAATTAATCCTAGGTTTTGAGAAAGTGAATTTTCTCTATAACTCCTCCCCCTTTCCTCCCCCAACCCAACCAGTAGATTTCCTTCTCTAAAGGACTTGATTTTCTGGTCTTCCTTTATTTAGTAAAGCCAAATAACAATAGAGTGGGATGCAGTAATAATGCTGGTGGGCTTATGTAGCAATGCCCAAAGGTGATGGGGTAGAAAAACTGATATGGTGTGTGTTTTAGTGATATGAAGGGAAGCTTTTCAAATTCATTGACAGATGTGGACAGATTCCCTGGAACTATATCCCCGATCGCAGCACATTTCCTGGGATGTGTGGCTTTCTCCATCTCTAGTCTGTGTGGCATCGTTGCTGGAGGCTTTGGTTTATCCCAGAACCCTTGCCTGCTTTTGAATTGTTGAGTAAGCATTTATATTACCACCCTAATGCACAAAGTGGATGCAAAGAGGTATGCTCTGCTTTATTTCACTGATGTACTTGCCTTCTATTACTTTTTGTCTGGTAGAGTAGATAAAGCAGTGGAAAAATGATGAAAGGGAAGAACTGAAAATAATATTTCATAGAACAGCTCAGTATAACAACGCCAAATATAATGAAATGTGCAAAGACATAGAATTTGAAAACCAAAATGGAAGAACGTACTTGGCATATCATAAACTGAAAGAACTGAAGAAAAAAAAATCAAGTCTTGAGTTGCAATAGCAAAAGATTCTATGGACAAAATAGTATGCAGGAAGCATCAAAAGAAGACAGAATGAATGCACAGAGTTACTGTACCAACTAAGACTAGTCCACAGTCAACCATTTTAGGAGGTGGCTTCAGCAGGAACCAATGGTACTGAAGGAAGAAGTTCAAGCTGCACTGAAAGCATCAGCCAAGAACAAGGCTCTAGGAATTGATGGAATATCCATGGAAATGTTTCAACAAGCTGATGAAGCACTGGAAGCACTCACTCATCTATGTCAGGAAAATTGGAAGACAGCTACTCAGCCAACTGACAAGAAGAGATCCATATTTGTAACCATTTCAAAGAATAATACAAAAATTGCTCATGTTATAGAATATTAGCATTGATATCACGTTCAAGTAATATTTTGCTGAAGATCATCTAACAAAGGTTGTAGCAGGACGCTGGAACTGCCAGAGGCTCCGGCCAGATTGAGAACAAGCTGTGGAATAACAGATACCACTGCTGATGTCAGAGTTTTGCTTGGCTAAACTCAGAGAATACAAGAAAGAAGTTTTCCTGTCTTTTATCCATTTTGCCAAGGCGTTTGACTGTGAGGATCACAACAAATAATGGACAACCTTGAGAAGAATGGGAATTCTGCAACGCTTCATTTTTCTCATGCGGAACTTGTACATGGATCAAGAGGCAGTAGTGCAAACAGAACAAGGACATCACATGGTTTTAAATCAGGAAAGGTGTGCATCGGGTTATATCCTCTCACTATACTTATTTAATCCGTATGCTGAGCAAATAATCAGAGAAGCTGGCTTATATGATGAAGAATATGGTATCAGGTTTAGAGGAAGGCTTATTAACAACTGTGATATACAAATGACACAATCTTGCTTGCTCAAAGTGAAAACGATGAGAAGAATTTGCTGATAAAGATCAAGGACTGCAGTCTTCAGTATGGATTACAGCCCAATGTAAATAAGACCAACATTGTACCAATAGTTAATATCATAATTAAAAGAGCAAAGATTGAAGTTGTCAAGGATTCCATCTTGCTTGTATCCCAAATCAATTCTCCTGGAAGCAGCAGAGATCAAACCACACATTTCGTTGGACAGTTCTGTTGCATCAGACCTCTTTAAAGTGTTGAAAAGAAAACATGTTACTCTGAGGGCTAAGGTGCTCCTGACCCAAGCCATACTATTTTCAATTGCCTCATATGTGTGTGAAAGTTGGAAAGTTGAATAAGGAAGACCAAAGAAGAATAGATGCATGGACTGTGGTGTTGACAAAGATTATGAAAAGTCCCATGGACTGTCAAATGAACAAAGAGATGTGTCTTGGAAGAAGTACAACCAGAATGCTCTTTAAAGGCAAAGACGGTAAGACTTCATCTCTGTACTTTGGACATGCCAGGAAAGACATCAGGATGGGTAAAATAGAGGGCAGCATAAAAGAGGAAGGCCCTCAACGAAGTAGGCTGACTCAGTGCCTTCAGCAATGGGCTCCAGCATAGGAACAATGGGGGCAATGGCCTAGGATGATACATGATCAAGCAGTTTTATGAGAAGCAAGCACAGGAACAATTGTGAGGATAACAGGGGATCAAGCTTTGTTCTTTTGGGTGTCAGGTCTCCATGGAATCAACAGCAACAAGAAAACTAAGATATGCTATGCAACTTTTTTCTGCAAAAGAGCATTGTGAAAAGAGA